CCAATTCCTTATTATCTTACCCGAATCCGAGTATTTCACACAGTACCCGTCAAAATTATGGTATCAATGTCTTTGTAGCTGAGCTTCCGAGATCCCTCAATTATGGTCTTCTCGAGAAATACTGGTCCTCTTCTCCAGATTCTCGTATACCCAGCGACCCGGATCACCCGACCCGGAAAACCAATCTACCTAAACCAGAGAAATACCCAATGTACCCGGAGAATCCGTTGATTAAGCAATACAGTGCCGAGTACTGGATCATGGGCGACCTCGAGACACCATCGGAGAAGCGAGTTGGATCTTTTGCTAAAAGGGTTTTCAGTGAATCCGACGCCGATGTAGTTTTCGTGCCCTTCTTCGCGACGCTAAGCGCAGAGATGGAGCTGGGAAATGGGAAAGGAACCTTCAGGAAGAAAACCGGTAACGAAGATTACCAGAGGCAAAGACAAGTGCTTGATTTCGTCAAGAACACTAAAGCTTGGAAGCGATCCGGTGGTCGTGATCACGTTTTTGTTCTAACAGGTGACCATTTTCTCTCAATTGACTCGTTTTCCTTTGCAAATTTCATGCCTTTGTAACTTGTTTGGATGTGAATTTGACAAATCCTGTTAATGTAGAATGATAGATTTGAGTTCTACTTTGATCTTGGCATGGAAGTTGTTGATATGACCGGCTTAGTTTGGTGTTGTAGAAGCTTATATAAGTTATATCTGTGGATTTGTCAGGTTTAGTTAAATGTTGAAGCGTTCTTTGGCAGACCCAGTTGCAATGTGGCATGTTCGTGAGGAGATTGCTCTATCGATTTTACTTGTCGTGGATTTTGGTGGATGGTTCAGGCAAGATTCTAAATCATCCAACGGTAGTACTAGCTTGCCCGAGAGGATTGAGCATACTCAAGTCTCTGTCATCAAGGATGTGATTGTTCCATACACGCATCTACTTCCTAGACTAGATTTGTCCCAGAATCAGAGACGTCGAAGCCTTCTTTATTTCAAAGGCGCTAAGCACAGACATCGGGTAACCACTTCTCTATCTGAATCCTTACATTTCTTTATGCAGAGATTCTTGTGATTGAGTTCATGGCTCATGAGATCTCAATTGTTGGTCTGTGTTTGCTTATATTTATAGTGCGTAATCTTTCAAAATGAATCCATAACCTTTAGCTTGTCAAACAATTTGGTTTTTGTCAACTGTAAACGTACACATTTGTGTTTACAATTTGCAAACAAGTATGTTTATCTCACATGTAAATGCAAACATAGAAATTGGCATTTGAAACAATCGCAGCCTAATTTGAATTGATTAGTCTTGTGTATTCATAGCAAAGTCATCTGTTCTCTATTAAGTTTTTTTTGGTGTATGGATCTCTTATGTGATTTGTATCATTTTAATTTGGCAGGGAGGGTTAATCAGAGAAAAACTTTGGGACTTGCTGGTTGGTGAACCTGGCATTGTCATGGAAGAAGGCTTTCCTAATGCAACCGGAAGAGAACAATCGATAAGAGGGATGAGAAACTCAGAGTTCTGCTTGCATCCAGCTGGTGACACTCCCACTTCATGTCGTCTCTTTGATGCCATTCAGAGCCTATGCATCCCTGTGATTGTCAGCGACACCATAGAGTTACCATTTGAGGGGATGATCGATTACTCAGAATTCTCGGTCTTTGTCTCTGTGAGTGATGCATTAACACCTAAATGGTTGGCTAATCATCTCAGAAGGTTGTCTGAAAGAGACAAGGAAACGTTCAGAAGTAGAATGGCAAAGGTTCAAACAGTTTTTGCGTATGATAATGGTCAAGCAAATGGGATTGGGCCGATTCAACCCGATGGTGCGGTGAATCACATATGGAAGAAGGTCCAACAGAAGGTCCCAATGGTGAAGGAAGCAGTGATGAGGGTTCGGAGAAAACCAACGGGTGCTTTTGTTCCTCTTCGATGTCAATGTATCTGATTTATTGAACCAAACCCAAAAGAAAAAACCG